ACATTCTTTCAATTTCGGTGTTTAAAAACATTTAAATCTTAAAAAAATTGGCTGAATAATTTCCTAAAACGTTATCATAAATAATCCAATAGGGAACAGATTTTTATTTTGATTTAATATCAGAATTTCATCGATGTTACCAAATGAAAATATGGCTGTCATACTATCGAATTGCCTGCAAGCAATAAGCGCTGGCATATATTACAGCACATGAGAATTAGGCGGTCTCCATTGGAAATATATTTTGTGGCATGGTAATCACGACATCAGTGTTTTCCTGTACAGACAGGGTCTTAGTCATTTTTTTTAATAGGACTCCTGAAGGGGTCCAAAAAGATTATTCGTCGGATCATTTCAGAAAGTCCTTGAACAAATGAAGCAGTAAAAATTAAAAATAATATATGTTTGATGACAAAGATATATACCTATACCTAAGTAGGCCATTATCTAAGAAAAATTACGTGGTGGAACAAAACTAAGAATGCATTCTATCTAAATTTGAATATTAATTAATGGCGTTATCTCTTTTTTAGAAAATTTCAAAAGTTAAAAAATTATGTACAGTGTAATTGGAAGCCAATCACTCTTTTAATTAAAAAAAGTGTAGTATGTTTTAGCGAAAAATGTGTTTGAAGGCCCTAAAACAAATTTTGAGTGCTGTATGCATAACAAAATGCATAGCCAAAACAAGCGCGAAAAATATCTCCCATACAACGTCGTTGAAAATTTTTCGCAATAACTTTATCGCAATAAGCTGTTGTGAGTGATGGCGAATGGATTACTTGCATCGTTTTTTCCATTTAAGCGAAGCGCACATTAGCGCGATTCCATCGTTGCGAATACGTTGCGAATTCGGCTGTTAACTTCAAATCCGCAAACGTGCGCACACTTGAGCGATTTTTTCGCGTCGATTTCCGATGTACAATTCACTCAATTTTCCCTTTATTTCGTGTATTTTCGCATTCGGCGTGCCCAAATCGTACAAAATACTATTATTACGAACGTTTTTATTAGTTTTTGTACATTACACGTTTTTTTTCTTTGCCTTTATTGCTGTGACACCTTTCTTCTTCTTCTTTGACGCCTTCTAAACGCTGCAAGCCGCGTTTCGAACGCGTCAATAGAGAGGAACATTGAATGTTCGAAAAATTCGCAGCGACGGAATCGTGCAAGTGTGCGCTAGCGCATTAAAATGTATGGGTAGCATTGTTGTAATTTTTGGGCTTGCGGATTCGCAACGACAGAATCGCGCCAATGTGCGCTTCGCTTTATGAGAGGCCGACATGGACAATGCTCGGACTTATCATATTCGAGTGAGAGGAAACGTCTTTGTTTTTTCGATCGCGAATGCAAAGCAGCGGAAATTTGTTTGCCGATCGCATTCCGAATGTGAGAGATGATAAATTTTTTTGCATTTTTCACTCGCGATAAAAGAATGCAAAAATAGATTTGGAATATTATCGATCATGATAAATTTCAGAAATGAATGAAAACGAATTATCATAAATGAGAACTTCCGAACCCAGTTTGAGATGGAATGACATAGCGCAAACCCTTAATTGTGTTGACATGACATAGAAATGCATACAATTTTAGAAAACGACATTTTTACAGAAAATGTTGAATTTCGCAGTACTTTAGTAGATACATATCATCGTTTAAAGTACAAAACCGCGTATGGTCATTCTGCAAAAGCTCGTAACTGACATTGGCTGCCAAAAATTGGATTTGCTCACACAAGCTCTTGGCTCAATCCTTATCCATTCGTCCTGAAATATACTAGCCAGAAACGCGATTGCTTTATAAAAAAAAGATAACCATTTTGAAATATGAGTGTTTTCACTCTCTAGAAAATAAATTATGCAACCTCACATACGCGGTCTTGCATTATCTTGATACGCTGATTTGTACTTTAAACGACGATATGCATATGGGGAATTGGTACATGAGGTCAAAATTGAGAATCTCATAACCAAAGTACTTAACATAGTAGTAGTACTGTAATACTAAATTTATATTAAAGATTAATTCTTTTTTGGTAAAAAGAAATATAGGCGTGGTGTACGGTTCGGCTGTTTATTGAACTCTGAACGAAAAAATTTTCATAGCTGACAAATAAAACATTTCATAAAACTCAAAGTACATACAATTCATATTTTCCTACACAGGTACTCTTATAGCCAGTGCCAAATTATGATCAACCTACATTCGGCCGTCCTAATATGACACTCGACCCGAGTGTCCGTTTACTTAGCCTTATTCATTGGTTTCTTCTTCATCACATCGAAACTTGTCTTCGTCGTCATAACACGCCCACTGCTTCATTGAGTCAGCGGCGGTAGAAGTTTGTTGAGGGCCTTCGACATCTCCTATACGCCTAACTAAATACCGGTCATTTCGTAGACACTTAATAACTTAACTTAATAACTTAATAACTTGATAGGCTCCAAGAAACTTGTGCATGAACTACAACCCTGATCCTTGCTGTATACGCCTAATTGCAACTATATCACCTTCCCGGTAGTGATGGGCTTCTTTTCGTTTCCTATTAAAACTTCGCTTATTTTCAGCTTGAAGACGTAAAATATTTTCATGTGCCTGATATCGTAAGGCATTCCTCTCTTGATCAAAAACATTTATGCATTCATCTCCCAAAAAGTCCATTAGCTTTGGATCATCCTTAAAGTATGCTTCAACTCCGAACATAAGTTTAAAAGCAGTTGCGCCAGTACTTCGTGTACTCGTATTAAGTAGCTTTTGAGCTGTCAAGATGTCGATACCACTCATGCGGCTTTGGTGCAGACAACTTTGTCAGAAGAGGAATTAGAGTCCGGTTTACTCTCTCTATTTGGCCGTTTCCTCTAGGCATACCAGTCGTTGTTAATATATGCTGAATGCCTTCTTTCGCGCAATAAGCAGAACAAAATAACCTTATCGTATTTTCCTTTTAATCGTATTTTCTTTTGGTCTTGCTTTCCACTCTTGGTTTTTTAGATATGGCAACACAGTCCTGCTGCCATTTGCACATATTCTGCATGTACTCTCATAAAATTAAACAACAATCAATTTTTTATAAAAAAGGCTGTAATATACTAAAAGTATTTATTT